TTTCATTTTATTAAAAGAGAAAATGGGGAGAGGGTATAGCTTAGTGGTAGAGTGCGTGCTTAGCATGCCCGAGGTCCTGGGTTCAATCCCCAGCACCTCCACTAACAATAAAATAAATTAAAAAAAAAAAGAAAAAGAAAAAATAAGAAAATAAAGATAATATCCTTAGACGCAGAAAAAGTATTTGCTAAGATCCAACATCATTTGTGATTAAAAATAAAATTCTAGCAATCTACAAATAAGGAAACTTCCTTTATCTGAAAAACAGTATCTACAGTAAATATCTAAGTAAATATATTGAATGGTGACACAATGAAGGTATCCTTTTGAGACTGGGAACAAGAAAAGGATACCTATTCTCACCACCTTTATTCAATACTATACTAGAGGCCCTAAATACTTCAGTAAAAAAAAAAGAAAAAGATGTAAAACACTTAAGACTTAGAAAAGATGAAATAAAACTGTCGTTATTCACAGATAATTGAATTATGCACACAGAAAATCCAAAAGGGTCTACAGAGGACTTGTTAGAATTAATGTATTTATTAAGATTGCTAGGTATAAACCCAAAATACAAAAATTAATTACCTTTCTATATACCAGTAACAATTATAAAATGAAAGTTATATAATGATAGCATTTATAACAACATCAAAAATACCAAATACCAAGGCATGAATCTAACATATTTAGGACCTCTACATAGAAAATTATAAAACATTACTGAGAGAAATAAATAGATCTAAAATAAATGAAGGGTTATGTCATGTTCACAGATGGGAAGACTCAATTGTAAAGACGTCAATTCTCCCAAAACAGACCTATGGAATAAACGAAATACCAATCAAAATCACAGGAGGTTTTTTGTTTGTTTTGTAAAATTTATCACGCTCATTCTAAAATATATATGGAAATACAACAGGCCAAAAATAGTCACAATAATCTGAAAAAAGAAAACCAGAAAGGTAGGACTTGCTGTACCAGATATCAAGATAATTTAAAAGTTCTAACAACTAAGGTGGCATTGGCACAAGGAAAGACCAATGGACTAGAGAAAAGAACCCAGAAAAAGATCCATACTAGTCCGGACATTTGATTTTGACAAAAGTGGCAATACTGAGCAATGGAGGAAAAAAAGGCTTTCCAACGAACTATGCTGGACAGCTGGATATCCACACAGAAAAAATGAAACCTGACTTTTTCTTCAAACCATACCTAAAAATTATTCCACAAAAATTTTAGACCCTAAATGTAGAAGACAAAAAATAAAATGTCCAGACTCTAAACTAGAAGTTCTGAAGTATTCTGACCCAAGGTGCCTGTGGATAGAATACAAGATAGAAAAATTATTTTTGATACATCACCTGTATCTTCTCATGCCTTAGCAGTTTAGTGAGCCAGTTCCAATAGACAGCATTTACCTATCTTCACCTGAGCTTTCCAGGAACTGTTTATAAGTACAGAGAATTAATGCTCTGCCCTCACCAGCCCTCAACCAAGGTGCGTGTCTGTGTGATGTGTGTAAAGAACACGTATGAGGAACATCATGTTGTGAGGAGCGCTAGCTCCCAGAGTTACCCGAAGATTTAAGCTTGTTAACCACCTGCATGATAATGTACCCTTTCTTAAGCACCTTCACTTCCCTGCCTCAAATCCAGGATATTTCTTTTATGATCACTCCCCATATTAATTACATGTCCTTGAATCCTTGTCTGGGGGTCTGCCTCTTGAGAAACCAAGAAAGCCAAGACCCAGAGTCACCATGAACTTGAGTTGGGGAAAACAATTACTTCCCTATTTTCATAACTGGTAACTGAAAATGCTGAATTTCAGTTATGAATATCTTACACATACCAACACACCCAAGGGATATTAGCAGTACTTGCAAGTTTGTCTCTAACAAATCAAAGATGTTTTAATATTACAAGACAGCTGCTGCAGATACCTCCAAACATTTTTTGCACTCCTCACTACTTTGAAATTGTTGGTTATTAGTTTACTACTAAACTGCACACGATTGCAGTCTTTCTGCCTATAATGTTGTGCAGTCTTCCTGTCTATAATGTCATCAGCTGTTGAGCAACTACCTCTGTGCCAAGTAATTATTCAACCACAAAACAGTTGAGTGTTCTACAACTGAAGATTAACTCAAAGAGCTCTGGGTGAATTCTGATGTTCTTGGAAAACCTATCTTTGCCTCATAAAGGATAACATGGAAGTTTTAATTCCACATCCAACAACTAAATACAATTAAATTTTAACTTGTGATTTTTAAATGTAATTTTTGTTACTGATTATATTACCTAAAAGTACATAACTGATATTATCACAAATTTACTTTTTAATATCTTGAAGCTATATTTCAATAACTATATGGTATCATTTTTAAAAGTTCAAAACTATTCAAAAATAAACATATTATTTGGGAATTTATACATGTGAAACTTTTTTTATTTTAAAAAGCAACAGAATAAAACAAAATTCAGGATTCCAACTGCCTGAGTGGGAAGGAAATGAGGAGATGCAAGAGGCATATAAGGAACCTATTAGTTTTATGCCCTTGGTCTCAGTTGGGTACTGGGTACTTGTACATTTGTTTAATTATTATATCTTATATGTAAGTTTTACTTTTTTTATTCTTAAGAAATGTTTTATAATTTGAAAAGGAACATTCATAGAGTGAAAAAAAAAACTCTCAAAAATGAAAAATGTGATAGCACGGAAAAATTATCTCAAAGTTAAAGCTGAAAAATCCCCTGGAATTTAAAGCGAAAAATGAAGAGATAGAAAATGAGATGAGGGGATAAAAGTAAATTAGAGGACCAGTACAGAAGGATCCACATCTGAATAAAGGGGGATCCAGAAAGAGAGAAAAGAGAACACTAAGGGAAGGAAATAACACAAAAGAAATAATATAAAATAATCTCCCTGAACTGAAGGACATGAGTTTTCAGATTGAACCCACCAAACTGCTTGCATAAAAAAATTATCCGTTAGAGGTATATACTAAAATAATTATAGATAACTGACCCATATCATGACATCTTGAGATGTCAAAACACCAGTGATAAAGGGAAGTTTTTTAAACCTCCATAAGCTGGAGCTGGGGGAGCATGGTCATACTGGCACTATACCTCTCAAACAGCAACAGTGGAAGCTAGAAGGCAACGGAACCATGACTTTAAAAATCCTCAAGGAAGTTTATTTTCAACCCATTTGATGCCCAATCAAATCAAGCATAATAGAAGAAAGAATTGTTCAGACCTAAAGGACCTCAAAAAAATTTTTTTTTCAATTCTTCTTTTTGCAGAAAACTACTAGAGGATATCTCCATCAAAACAAGGAAAGAAGATAAATGATGCTAAGAAAAAGGAAAGTTAGCAAAGGAGAGAGGCAAAGAGACTCTCCCAAGGTTGGTAAAAGAAAATCCTAAAATGACAGCTCTACTATTTAAGACTTGGAGAACAACAAAGCCAGACTGGAGCAAAGAGAACCCACATTTCCAGGATAACTCCTGCGTGGGCTCATACTGTGACAAGATTCAAAGACTGTCAGAGGTACAGGGGATGGATGAGGTACAGAGAAAACTGAGCGAATAACAAAACGAACTAATTAACGCCAAAGTAATTCTTCCATGAAGAATATTTTTCACACTTTTAATAATGTGAACAATTAAATACTGACTTACGCAAACATTATGAGATACCTATATCAGAAAGGCAGGAGGGAGGGAAGTGACTATGTGTACGTGCCAAGCGGAGGTGGGGTGGGGACATCAGCTAGAGAACTGATGTCTCAGCCACCATGGCACCAAGGCCAGAGATGACACATAAAACTGAAAGGGGGAAAAAAAATCAAGAAATGGGAACATAAACAAATTATTCAATAGGGAAAGAAACACCAAAGTATGCAATTTTATGAGCAACTGCCTCCAGGACACAGGAATTAAGAGTGGGAAGAAGGAAGAGCTTCTTTTCACTGTGAATCTAGTAGTACTATTTTACTTTTTATAGTATGTATATATGCTGGGGGGTTTTTTAAGTTAATTTTTAAAAATCATAAGTTTTTGAAAAAGTCAAATAAAAATAAAAATAGCCATTATTTCCCAGGTGCCAACTATCCATGGAGAAGATGCCAGATCTTTTACAAATACTATCACTACTCCTCAGGCCAGCTTTGTAATGTAGGATTTTCCCAACTGACAGATGAGAACACTGAAAATGAGAATGAACAAGAAACATTTTTAATTGTTTTGCTTCTTCTGTTTATGTTTTGTTTGCTCATTTACCTTTCCAGCGGTAGCAAAATATTCACCATCAGGGGACCATTCCATCAGATGTACAGATACTGAGGTTCTATAAAGACAAGAGTTAAACTGTTAGCATTTTTAAAGTCTGGAATGCTGTCTATATAAACGGTCAAAATAAGATTTTCATATCATCAAAACAAGAGTGTTTTCAACTCTCTAAAAATAAATATTTCACCTCCCTGAAAATACAAATGAATTCATTCAACGAATCCAAAGTTCACTTTGGGGATCCCAAGAAGAATACAATTAACATGCATAAATGATATCCCCAGCTACATGCCCCACCCACATCCTAATGTAATGTTTCAAAAACTGAGCTCATCATCTTCCCTGGCTAGCTGGTCCCCTTCACATAATCCATATTGTTAATGGTACAGCCATCTTCCCACTTGCTAGAGTGGCTGGCAACTTTCACCACATCCTCCCCCTCCCTATAGCCATCCATATCTCATGCACTAATGAATAATTCCTACATGGCAACCTTATCAGCCTAAATCCTGAGGTTATTACTATGAAAATATTTTTGTCCCCTTTTTGTTAAACAATCAACTGGAGCACTGATTAAAGGATGGTATTATAATGGATTTCAGTTAGAAAAACTCTACTTTCTAGGCTTCTAAACGCAATGGTACCATCAAAAAATAAAGATCATTATGAAAGGGAACATATTTTAGGAAGTTTTTTTTTTAATCAATGAACATTAACAACAGAGTTAGACACTAACTTGCACTGCCAGATGCACTTCCAATCATTTAAAACAGGAAGAATTTTATTATCAATTTCTTCCTCCTCTTCCAGAATGTCACCTCCTGGAGGAGCCCACAACTGAATAGAATCGGTTGCTGTCAACAATCTGTTATCTGAAAATTAAAGAATGTTCTGATGAATAAGCAAGGATTATCTAGAGAAATAAATGCACGTGTGGGCTTCTATTTAGGCCTATAAACTATTCTGTGAAAAATAAGCAATATTGTCTATGAAAAACACTTAACAGTCTATCCATTTAAAAGCTCTAAGAACCCACCAGACAAGAAAACTTGAGGGAAAATTGAGAACAAAAAAGAAAAGCCCACCACCAAAGAGCTACTGTGTATCAGGAAAACCTTTTTTAAAAAAATATTATTTACAGTAAAAGTAGAATAACAAAACCATACCCCCAAAACTCTGATACATACAACAACAGAATATTCTCAGGATAGAAGACAAAACTAAAGATGAGTGAAATCTGTTGTTCTACATGAATATTAAAACTACCCTCATTATTTGTGAGTGCCAAAAGGGACAACAGCCATTACCATTAGAGGTTTCCGATCTTTCAATATCAAAGAATAATTTCCTGAAATTTATGAGTAACAAAACAAGATAGGGTTTTTGTTGTCTTGTTTTTATCTCTGATTTTGTTTCTTAATAAATACAGTAAGAGTAAAGCACAGCACTTTAACTAAAGAAACAAATCATCAGTTTCTTGGAATAAAACATTCAAAAGCAAGAAGGAAAAAAGCACACAACGAATAGTAAATTAGGCACTGTACAAAGCAGTGTAAACGAAAAAGGAAGAAAGTACACTCATTGACTAGCCAAAAGAAAATACTATTGATCATTTTCATATTGTGGAAGACTATATCACATTGTTATCATACACTTAAAGCAAATATTTACTTTTTTTGTAATTTCTAAAAATAAGTACTAAATACCTTGAGGGTCCCATGCCAAATTGTATGTCACGGAACTCAAAAAAAACTGCCCAGTTTTAAGCCACTGACACTTGAGTTGCTGAAACATATAAGGAGAAAGAAAAAAATACAAACACTACCATGTCATCATTTTCTTCAACTTAAGACTTTATGAGCCAAATCAAAAATCTAAGTATTTCACTATTATTTTCAAAATACTGTTTTTAAAACCATTTCCAACAGTTTCACTTACTATTCTACCATATCAAGCTGGGTGCCATGCCAAAACAAAGCTTGCCTCTCAGGCTTCCTTCTGCAAAATGTGTCTATAAAAACATTCTTACATTTAGGGTATCCTTTCCTCTCTTCTCTGCCTGCAAACTCCTATGGTTATATCAAGATCGAACTAAATCATCACCTCTGCAGTGCAGCCTTTTCTGACATCCTGGCAATCCTTAGAGCACTTTTTACATACATTTTACCAGTACAACACTGGTCACATTGAATTATTTGTTTGTATGCTGACTCTCCGATTACACTCCAACTTTTCAAGGCAGGAATTATGCAATAATGAGCTTTGTGTCTTCAGTGTTGTAATGAGTGGTACGCAGGTACTTGATAAATGTTAATAAAAACAGAATAAACGCCCATCAGAAATAAGTACAAATTATCGTAATCCTATGAAGTCAATATCTAAAATAAAACTAGATATACCTTCTAAAAAGTCAACAAATTTGAACTATGTAATATGTAAAATCCACAAACTTGACCTATATTACATTTGAATAATTTCCATCTTTTTTTTTTACTGTTTTCACTCTAAAAGGTGGACAGAAGATTTAAAATTTAAAAGTCAAAGGCATTTGCCATGAAATACAGTATCTAAGTAAAAAAAAGTTTAGCTATTCCTTTGCAGTAAACATAAAATGTTTTTTCGTGAAAGTATAATGCAACATAAAGCCATCTGAAGGCTTTTTATAGGCAAGTTATTCATTAACTGCTTGGTAAGTAATAATTTAATAAATGACAATTCCTTCTCTCATTGTATTTTTAAGTATCTAATAATTAAATAATTTATTCAAAATTCCGTAACTATCTGGGGGTAGAATTTTAAATTTTAGAAATTCAGGCAAAACCTGAATTTCAGTATCCAAAAATAATTTAATATTTTTTAATCAGGGAAAATGTTATGTTTTAAACACTACCACTGCTGACCAAACAAGTCACAATTATATTTTAAATATTGTTCAACAGACCTATTTTAAAGTAATAATTGAATCAATCCTAAAACTAGAAATATCCCTAGTATTCTTTCTTTAAGTGTTTCTCAGAGTGTAATCTGTGGGCTAATTACACAGCAGAAATTTGGGAAGGCCTGGAATCTGAATTTTTAACATGTACTCTGGGTGATGCTTAAGTACTCTAAAATTTGATATCCATTTAATAAAACGGGAAATACAATGATATAATTGGTACTTGGGGGGTAATGTAAGAAGAAATATTCAAATATGTTTAATAAAAAATATCAAAACCACTTGTTTAATGCATTTAAATACAGTTTTTTAAATTACTGATAAATATGTCAAGATGGGAAATTGGCAGTTTTAAGTATTTGTGATGGTGGAGTTCTAATGCATGCAGTAATTTTTTAAAGGAGTTAATAATTCTAGCCATATAAGATTTTCTGAATATTAAGTAAGATAAAATACAATTCAGCACCTAGAATGAATCTGGATGGTTCTCAGTGTGATACATTAGACTACTTAGCTGGTAAGTGAATTTACCTAAGGTCTGAACTTCATTCAGCAAATATAATAGTTCAGTCATGCATATACATACATATATTCATTTTCATATTCTTTTTCACTATAGGTTACTGTAAGATACTGAATATAGTTCCCCGTGCTATACAGAAGAAACCTGTTGTTTACTTTATATATAATAGTTAATATTTGCAACAAATGGCAATTTTTAAAAGGGCAGTCAAGATAGATCCCATTGACAAGGTATTACTGAGCAAACACTTTAAGGATCTGCAGGAGCTGGCCCTCAGGCTATCTAGAGAAAGAATATTTCAGACAAAAGAACAACCAGTGCAAAGGCCCTAAGGTGGGAGGGTGACAGTGAAAATGCCAGTGTGACTGGACTGACATCAGAGGGGACAAAAATTGTAGGAGACGAAAGACCTGCTGTACAGCATAGGGAACTGTATTCAATTTCTTGTAATAACATATAATGGAAAGGAATCTGAAAAATATGTATGTATGTATATGTATAATGGAATTGCTTTGCTGTATACCTGAAACTAACACTATAAATCAACTACACTTCAATTTTTTAAAAAATAGAAGATGAGCTCTGGGAAGTAATAAATGGGTGCTGGAGGGAAGAAAGGCTGTAGTCTATTCTAAGGCTTTGGGGCTTTAAATCTGAGAGAATATGGAGCCACTACAGAACTTTTAGCAAAGGTTCATGATCTACTCTGTTGAGAACAAAGAGGCAAGGGGGACAGATATCAGACAAGAGACTAGTCCAGTAATCTAAATAAGAAATAATAGTTCAACTGAGGTAGATCCCAATTAATAAGGTGAATCTCAATTAGCAATATTCTAAAAAACTGAGTTTCTAAAAGGCCTAGGAGTATATTCCTAGTGAATGTACAAGATCTTACCATAAAGCACCAGACTAACTTCACACCAACACTTTAGACCACCTTCAGCACCAGCTCCTAAGGAGTTCTTTATTGCCATCAACTGGATTCTAAAGTCAATCCTAAAAGTATTCTACAATCATTTAATACTTACACAATTTCTCTTATGAGAATTTATGCCCAAGGGCTCAAAAATACAAACGGCATTACCATACGAAGCTGCAATCTAAAAAAGAGTGAACAAAGCATTAATATTTAGGAAAAGAGAAGATCAAGATCACCTCTTTTTCACAATAATGTATAAACTGATTACATATAATACAATCCCAATGCAGTACTCATGGTTTATTCTCTTCCATAAATATAACTGGAAAAGTACTGGACTTAAGAAAATCTCTTCTCTGTTACCAAAAATTCAGCAGGCTTTATTTTACATATCAAATACAAGGCCGATCTATTCAAAGAAAACATCCTTTTCTATAAAATTTTCATTTTTTTAATACAGAAACCACTTTCTTAACAAAGACGCATTTCAATGGTACACCTGTCAGAAGCTTTATAATCCAGTGAAAATATAAAAAACCATGAGAAGTATGGAAAGACATCAAAGGGTAACAGGTATTTAAAATACATCAAATAAAATGACATTAACTACACCATCAAACAAAAAATACCAATTGCAAGAACCATGTAGAAGAAGGAATGGAGAAAACAGACTAAGGAGAAACCAGAGAGACAGCTACTGCAATTGGGGAAAAAAGAGCTGAAGCAGACATCTCCAGTGGACTTAAGCTAAGGACTCTGTTCCAGGTCACATACTTAATGAGAAGCAGCAAAAATCCGTAGGAGCTCCTAGGACCTACCAAGCCTGCTTTCCAATAACTCCTTGAAAGCCAGTTCCCAGGTTATCCTCCTCTTAGCAAGAGGGAATCAACTATAAGGAACAAACCAAAAACCATCCCTTCTGACACCTCTGGACCTACAGCTTAACTTATTAAGCTAAATTAGGTATCTGTACTTTTAAGGCGAGCCAGAAAGGTCGTTGTGATTGAAGGGCACTCTGATGCAAAAAAAAAGTGACTTTGTTACTTAATATTTAATATTCTTTTCCAGAAAAAGCTTTTACTCTACAGTGGTAGGGGGGAAGCTACTTTAAATGCCTGGCTGAGGTCACACTTAGGTAAAAAGTGTTACGTTGGATCACATTCTGTTGAATGAATGAATGTCAATGAATGAATGAATAATTGTAACTGGTTAACACAAAATCATAAACGTGAGAGTAATCATCAAAAGGACTGCTGATGAAGGAAACAAAAGAAGACAGTGGTAAAAGACAATGAATCAGAGATTTCACAATCTTGGCTTCTTTTTTTTCCCCCCTCCACAATCATGGCCTCTTTACCTTCAACTAGGTAAGAAAATGTAGAAACAGTTACAAACACCAAGGTCTTCTATATTAAAAAAAAAATTTTGCTCCCAGAAAATTTGTTGATTGTGATTATTACCAGTACATAAATAATTTATTAAAATGCATCTCTGACAACTCTAGGCAGGTTTAAAGCTACCTTGTTTGGCAGAGGGCGATGAGCAATGAAAAATTAATGAGAGGAACTTGACACTCCCAGTGTTTTCTAAAGGGTAAGCAATGCTTAGGGAAAAAAATTAGGGAGAAAAAAATCAGAAAAGCAAGAAATAGTATCAGAAAACAACAGGAAATTCAATGTTTCAATACTATGTCAGTTTTATCACTGGACTGTCATGTAGTGACACACCCAAATATTCAAGCTTGATACAAGCAGCAGGGTAGAGCAGTAGAAACAGTAAGAAAAAAATGAAAAAAAAATGGTAAAAAAAAATCATAATTTACTATTTGGCATAAATTTGCAAGATTACTATTTATCACCATGAATATTCTGATTTAACATAGCCTTGATAAAATATGGCATTATTTAGTAAAGAACAATTTCTAGAACACTAAGACTTTAAATTATTACAGGAAAAACATCACTTTTATATTCCCGTGGAGACATTCAATATGCTACACAACATGAGCCTTAATGAAATACTAGAATACACAGCAAATATGCCATATTTACATATAACCAAAATCTGAATGTATATTATGAGAAACATAGTGTGAAATTTGAATTATTTTCAAATAAACCCTCTGTTTAAAGTCTGAATGAATGAACTTTAAGATTCTTCAAACAACAAATAGTTTCATTAACAGAAACTTACAAAGCACCTGTTATATGACAAATATTATATTAGATACTAACAACATGCTACATTTCTTGATAAAAATTTGATGTTATTATAATTTAGAAGAGATAACGTGTGCTAGGTAGGGAAGATACAAATTTTCTTCCCTGCTATTGGCTTAATAGCTGCTAAAGTTATCAGCTGGCAGAGAGTACCAGTATGCACAGGATTGTGAAGCCAGCAGATCTTTCAAGACAGTATATACATGCAGAACAATTAGTTATCACATTATTAGCTTAATGGCTCTTTACAATTTGTACAGAAACATATTATTTTACCCCTACTATTAATAGCCACCTAAGCCAGGTATATTAATTAGAAATTGTAAGACTTGTATAAAAGGATAAGAATATTCTGAGATTATTAAACACATTAAAAGATGACATTTAATAAAGTAAATAAATCTCTTACTCTTCCATGTTGGTTAGAACACTCCACACAGCTGACTTGGATGTTTCCATGCTTAGCACCAGGAATGATCTGCACACATTCAAAGTCATTTGCCAGAATAACAATATCACAGCCTGATCCATATGCCTAAAAAGAAAAGTTTTACAATATGTAAGATACGTACCTTGTGAACAAATACTGGTTTATCTTAGTTTTTGCTGCCATTGTAAAACATACTGTGACACATTTTACAAAAAGTTAACGCAAAAATATTCAAAAATACCAATTTCCAAATAAAACATTAAAAATCACATCAAAAAAAAAAAAAAAAAAGACTGACGGCACCCCAAGCATTATCATTCAACAACTGGAAACAGGAAGAGTTTTTTTTTCTCCCAGGTCTTCAACACTACAGACTCCATCTGTTTAGAGTTTCTCTCTGAAGCTCGTCTTAAACCCCAAAGAATAAAACCTCCATCTGAAAGTAATAAGGCACTGAGGGCTGCAGTGGTGCTCCCAGGGTTCAAACCAGGCTTAAGGAAGATCAAGAGAGAAATCAGATGCATTTTCCAATACAATTCCACATGGCTTAAAGAGCTGGTTAAATAGACATGAACCCCCGAGGCAGAAATTACATGCACTAAAGCAAAGACTAAACGTAACTCAAATGCCTAAGTGAATCCATCATGAAGCCTGCCTGCCCTCTCCCCTCAACCTTGCCAGGCACGAGGAAGAGAGGAAATCAACCCTAAGTGCTTTTGATCATGTGCTCACTCGCTCCCTCCCTCCCTCTCACACACGCACACATGTTTAATAAAATAAACAATAAACTAATTTTTATATAATGTGGCAAATACTTGGACATTTATGGAAAACGAAACACAAAATTAAGTTCCTGGAAAATTCCCTTGTTCAACATAACTATACTGAGTAAAACCACATATTTCTTCCTATTACCACACTTCTTGGTTTATGTTATTCCTGTTTTGCAATTTTGTGAATTTCAAGATAACATTAATGGGCAGAGGATGGGGACATTTTTCTTTTTCTGCCAAACTCAACTTATGATTAAACACTCAAAACAACCTAACAATGTAACTCTCAAATGAAAAATCCCCAAAGAAAGCAACATATAAAATCTATGAGGAGGTATTTTCCCCCTACTATTTTTCTACAGCCTTAAGCAATATGGTCACGTCCTACAAAACAGATATCCAATAGCCAGGGCTGACATGTGATGACATCAAGTCAGTGAGGTCCACATATGGCTGCTAGTGAAAGAGGGAACTAAGAGTAAAGACCAGAGAGGAAGACAGATGCTACTTTTACTTGTTACTAAAACTTCCAATGTCACCAGAATCCTGCTGTAACTACCATAACCATCTTCAACCAAAAGAAAAACGACAGAATTTTAAGCAAGGGATATAGAGAAAAAAATCACATCCAGGAGGAAATAACCACTTATATTCTTACAGACAAGGCAGATTTGCCATACTATGCTATGCATTCAAGAAGGCTAAACTGATTGGGAACTGACTGAAGAAATGTTTGTGTCATCACACTGATCTTTCATTGAAATAACAAAAATAATCTTACCCCCTACCAAAAAAAAAAAAACTGTACCCTTGAACAACATTTCACAATTTCCAAAGTGCTTTTATAGCATTATCTCAGCAAAGTGGACTGATGGTAAGGGCATAAACTTTATCTAGTTGGGAATCACCACATGCAGGGTTTTCCATGTTGGTTCTGCAATACTGTCATCTTATGCAAGTTATTTAAGCTCTCTAAGCATTTCCTTGCGGTAAAATAGAAGAAATAATACTTACCTCTTAGGATGATTGTGAGAATCAAAAGAGAAAATCTATTTACATAGTGTTTAGCACACATCACTCATTAAAGAAACCAAACAGGGCACGATGCCCCCAAGCCTGGGCTAGCAACTGGGAATACAAAAACACAAGATGTAGCCCCAGTGAGTCTAATGGGGGAAGACAACCAAGTAAATAACCAATCACAACTAAAATGACCATCTGCCATGACAGAGACATCTACAAGTTACGAGTAGAAAACAGAAGGTATTCAGGAAATGTTAACATCCTCGTAGTTACAAAGAAAGAGTCTGAGATCATTGACAACTGTTGACAGATATGTCTAAATTCAAAAAAGTAAAGCACTGATGAATTAAGAGGTACTAAGCCTGTTGAGAGGTTTATCTTATAACAAGGTGTTGTAGTCTAATTTAACAAGAATACTCTACCAGTAGTGTTACTGTTAAACTCCCACCTCTCCCTGAGAGTTTTGATTCATGTAAATATAGGGCATGTGTACTAAGAGTTAGAAAAATAATTATGAGAAAGTGGTGCCATTTACTGAAAGCCTACTGGGTATCAAGTTAATATACTATGCATTCTATATCCCTGGTCTTTTTTTCAAGACTGCAATGATCCTAGAGTTGGTTACTCATCCATCCCATTTAATACAAGGAAATGGAAGTTCACAGGATTTAATCAATCCTAAATCACAAGGTAAATAAACACTGGGATGCAAATTCAAATCGTTTCATACACTTCACTAATGGCCATCTTCTCTCATTTTGTTTTCTATTGCTTAAATTTTTGTTTTTCTTATCAATTACATAAACTCATCTAAATTCTTCATTTCTGCTGTGATCTCTGTTCTACAAACAAAAAGGTTAAGAGAATACAGGGTTCTCTGGGCTTTGATGGTTACTTGGTTGGATCAAGTTATCTTCAGGAAGTAGTCTTAAGAGGCCAAGGTCAACCTATGAAAAAAACTTAAAACCAAGAAAACAAAGGACAGATTAACAAAAATTTCCCGAGAAAACACCCTTTCCCTCTCTGAATCTTAGTCATTTAAAATCCTAAATGCTTATGACACTCTCAGAATTAAAAATTAACTTCTAAAATGGACAAATAGGTTTCCTTATTGAATGGGTCCCTTACTAAGCTAGAACTCATACTACTTATCCATTAAAGTGAAATAAAATCATTTTAAATGTTTAATTTTGATGTTTTCAGTGACAAGATTTTTCTTTTTTTATAGAGGGAAATAACTTCTAAATTTTAAAACTAAATAGGAAAATTAAGTCACCTTCTTGGCCTTGACCATCCCTCATCCCCAAGGAACACTTAACAGTTACCTACCAACCCTTCCTGAAATGTTTAGTGTACATACAAGTGTATCTACATATAAATCTTTGTTTTTAACATAAAGGGAGTAAGTTACACACAATTCTGCAAATTATTTTCCTCTTAATTAACAATGTATCTAGAAAACTTTCCAAACTACACAGAATGAATTATTTCACTGGTCTGAATAGTTGCATATTATTTCATTCTGTGGCTCTGCCACAGTTAATTTCGGTTGTTTCCAGTCTTTTACTACTACAAAAAAATGCTTCAATGAAGATCTTTGTGTATATAATATTATGTATATTATATACAAGTATACCCATAAGATAAATTCTAAGACATAATTTTCTGGGTCAGCGACTAAAATTTATAACTACTTCAGACTGCCCTTCAAAAACATCACACCCCCAGATATATAAAAAGTACCTGTTTCTCCATTTCATCACTAATCCTGATCATTACCAAATGTTTTAATCTTTCTAATCCAACAAAACCTGTCATCTCCTTGTTTTAATTTTCATTTTTATTAGGAATATCTTTTCATATGTTTATCAGTTATTTATATTTTTCCTCTGCAAACTGACTAGTCATGTTACTGGCCCATTTTTTAACTGGGCCTTCAGTCTTAATGTTCTAAAGGATTTGTAAGAGCTCTTTATAGAACTCACCCTTTGTCATACATAGCTAACAAGTTGTTTTTTTTTTTTTAAACAAAGTGCCTGAACTGAAGATATATAAAAGCACAAACATATTAAGGAAAGGATAACATTTTTCACTTGAGATAATATATTTATATAATACATAATTCCAATTTTTAAAGTTTTATAAGAAGATCATAATAGGCCAAGGACTATTTTAAAACCCTAATTTATGGATTACCAGGAAACTATAGATTTATGCATAAAAAATACACATTCTTGACTTAATGAGAATTCTCAAAATGAAATTTAAGTCTACAAAATAAAAGCACTCATTATCAGCAACATATTCAATCAGCCTCATTTGTCTGTCTGCAAGTTTCCACCTAACCAGACCCTTACTATTATCAATTACTGCCTACCACAATCACCAGCCAAAGTGAATAAGCCTCCTGTCACTCAGATACAGGTCCACACAACAGTTAGAAAAGGGGGAGAGGGCAGTATTTGAAAAGAAGCTCTTCTTTCCACATGACTAAGAACACACTTTCCTGATAAGATTCAATCATTCTAACAGTCTAAAGTTCATTTGAAAATGCTGAACAAGCAAAATAAATAAGGAAGAAACTAAATATTATGCAAAAAGCTTAGAATAAAAAAACTAATCTATGTCAATAATGGGTGAAACAATGTCAGAAATAATCTACTAATGACTACTTGAGTGGTAACCAAAGGGACTGTACTTCTTAGACATAATTCACACCAGGAAATGCAAACTTAACACACTACTTATAAGTAACAGTAGAAAAAAGCAAAGCTGAGAGTGGTATGCTGAGTGAAATGTAAGACAAAGCTTAATAATGTGTAAAAACAAAAATCTACGGCCAGAGAAGAAGAAAAAAATTAAAGAAAATCCTGCAAGTGTTTGGGATTAAGTGGTAAGAGACAAAATGATTTTTTGTTTTAATTTCCTAACAACCCCAAAGAAGCAAATGATCTGGAAGTAGAACTTTAACTAAAACTGAAACTTTATACAACAGCTATTTTTAATATTAATCAAAAAACTTGCCAATTTTGATAATTTACTAACAAGATGGTGCTACAAAAACTTCTAAATAGTAAGATTAAAAGAAACAAACAGCTGCAGTGCAAACTAAGCATATTTCTATACCCCTGAATAAAGAATAAATAAGTTTTTTCAATTTACTGATGCTAGTACCAACTGAAAGGAAAATGAGACCTTGAGAAGAAAAATATGCAATAACTAATTAACTTATTCTAATTAATCGCCACAAAACCAGCTCTATCTCCAGCTTGCCTGCATTCTTCTTAAAAGGTAGGTATGGAAGTGAAA